ATTCCATTGACCAAGCTCAAACTTCAAAGTAAATTTTCTCGCACTTTGTGACACATCCAAGCTTTCAAATTTCACATCAAATGGTTGTAAGGAAATGTGACTACCTCGTATCAAAGGTAAATGGACACATTGTATACAATCCCATATTATATCCCCAGAGTTGAGGGACCTATGGGCTTGGCACCTATCGGGCCTAACCAACTCTAGTGCGTATGAGTCTACTCACCCAAGACAGCAAACCCTGTAGTTAACAAATAAAAAAATTGTAATAATATATAAAGTTTTAAGTAGATAAATAGAAGAAAGAAGATTGTATCAAGTGAGCTGGAACGCATTTCTACAATATGTCGTCCAGAGGTATAAAGCATCCATCTTAAAGATGGATGCAAATAGTTAGTTCATCTAAAAACAAGTGTAACTAATGGTCTAAATATTTTCTTAATATAATTATTACTTCTTGTTTTTAATTTATTATTATTATTTTTATATTCATGATCTCTATGTTAAAGATTATATATTCTCTAAAAATTAGGATCAAATTATATTTAAAAATATATTTATTGCCAAGCCTGCATTTCTATAATATGCGGTTTGACGGATAGAAACCGTATCCATAGAAGAATAGGGAAAAAAAAAAGAAAAAAAAGAGAAATATATATAAAATATTATAAGGACAATTTTGTAAACTTTCCACTAACAATGCACTTGTCGGCCGATTTTTAGAACAAATCGTTGATTAGTGCACTGGAAAAATAATAATTCCTGCATACATGGGCCAGATTGGGATCGGCCAGTGACTGATCCCGAGTTAGTCGGGCGATCTTTTAAATACTGGGTTTTTAACACATTAATAATAAGAATGGCGGGTGGGTCATTATGTTGAGGTATTAGCCCCTCTAACTACCAATGCCCTAGGGGGGCAATGGACTCAACCAGACTCAAGACCCAACGGGTATGGGTCTAGGTATGGGTCTAAATTTTAAACACGAGAGGTTAGGTTCGGGTCCAGCCGGACTTGACTCAGATAACATGGGTATATGTTATGTGGGTATTCATAAATGTTGCCAATATGTTTGTTTCTTAAGAACTAGAAATTCTTAAGAAACAAACATATTGGCAACATTTATGAATGTTGTGCAATATTGTAAATGCCGCCAATAATTTGTGTGTGATGGTAAAAAAAAAAAAACTCACAGTCATAGGGTGGCAATGGATTCGACTGGACTCAGGACCTGACAGGTCGACTTGGGACTGAATATGGTATTGAGGATTGAGGTCTTGTATTCTAAAGAAATAGATTTGTCAAGGTAAAGTCAACAGAACAATTCCGGAAGGTAGAAAGCCCGAAGGGCTTGAGGCCTGGAGGAGTGTCCGGTGCAGGGAGTCGGTTGACTCGGCCTTTGTGGGGGTTCGTTTAAAATTTCAAATATCCATACAAGGGTATTTTGATAATTTGTACAAGGGCCTCGATATATATCCGTACATGAGTATTTGTCCATACATGGGTATTTATCCATACATGGGTATTTTGGTAATTTATATGGGACTATATATTGTAGCGATGGGTTCTTTTTAGGATTAAGGAAAAACGTTGATTTTTTTGTAATCAGAGAAAACAGAGATGTGTGAGGAAAATAGAGCTATTGTAACCCTATTCTCCATTTTCAGTAAAGAAGCTATCGTCTCCCATGGACGTAGGCACGTTGCCGAACTACGTATATCTTTACGTTGTGGTTGGTTGTCTCTTTTTATTTTTATTTTTTATTTTTTATTTTTTTATTCTTTTTTGTTTTACTTAGATTGTATTTCGTTTCTCCATATGCTTTCAAATTTTGGACCCGAAAGGTCAGATCCAGGTCCAAAACCTGGACTATTTGGTTTCGGGTCCGTGTCCAGCCGAACCCAACCCATACTGACCCGACCCAATCCAACCCGTTGCCACCCTACAATGCCCCAACCCCATTCCCGCTATACCCTTGATCCTCTTCTAGGACTAGGGCTTTTTAGTACCAGAAATTCATTTTTCATTTAGATTTTGAGTTGGGTATTAATCTTATACGGTAAAGTCGTGGCCATACGCTGACCGCATCGCCCTACAATACGTCTTGTTAACAGTTGTTCGATTTGCATGCGGCAGCGGTTTTGTGAAATTTGGCGAGGCCCCGCCTCAAAACCCCGTGGAGACATGGTTTTGGAGGTGGAAATTTTATGATAACGTGCAAATCTATTTTTGTGCCATGGAAATTTGAAAGCTAAAAAATGGTGCAGACTTTGTCAATCTATTAATGCAAGATGCACTCTTCTATGGGCTCAAAATTTTTATAATATTTTTCAATTCCATAATTGTCGAGATAGAGATGATTGATTTGCCAAATTTCTATCATTAAAGCTACATTTTGCAACGATAATCTAAGATGTAGTTTAGAAAATCATTACCTTTCATAAATACCTTCTCAAACTTATTGACCGCTGCATGGTTATAATAACATTATGCAAACTTCCTTTATATATATCTTCACGGTTGGTTTTTGTACCTCTAGCAAGGGTCACAGAGGCCCAAGCCCAACAAAACAATTGTCAAACCACAGTAAAGTTTTAGTACTCCAGCGTAATTGGCTCCTAGAGGCTTAGACTAATTTATTAAGGAGAAATAATAACGTTTATAATATAACAATACATAATCTCTAAGTTGTCTTGATGGCTTTTGTAAACTCAACTTATGTTTATAATTAGGTCCGAAAAATTAGGTTTTTTATTTTTAAAGAATGAACTTAAGATATAGGTAATTAGGGAGGTATGTGTCAATATGACGCATTGAATTTTATTCCTACTACACGTACAAAAAATTCTTTGTATTGATCCATCTAAAACATCAAAAAAGAGATTTTTGACATTATAAGCCGATTTGCTATAATAGCCCATTATTATGCCTTCCTAAAAGACAGGTTTTTAAATAACAAAGTTATTTCACTACATGCTGTTACTTTTACAACACTATCAAATGTTTTTAGAAAAGTTGTATTGGCATAGCTTTATAGCTTTCTTTTCAACATATTGCCAAACTTTGTTCAAATGTTTGATCACTTCTAGATGGTTGGTCGGCAAAACAAAGCTCAATAAATTTTTTTTAAATATATTTAATTTTTTTAATTTTTTTTTGTTATTTAGATTTAATGCAACTAATCTGAGTGACAATTATGTTGGTTTTGACTAGATTAGACCATACACCAAATTAATGCTAGGCCGATTCTAATGGCACTAACCAATATACCGCTTTATATTCTAACAATGCTCAGGCCCACCAAAGGCCCACATCATATTAGCATGTCTTTTGTGCCATACCGAAAGTAGTTTATGGGCAATTTAGCTATTTTCTAAATTCTATGTGAGTTTCAATTGTGATCTCCCAAAAGACCATATAATATTAGATGGGTGCAGGCATACAGATGCCTATGTAGGTGTAGAGGTAAGATGCACCTTCAAATGTTATCATGGTATATAATTTTGATATAAAATGTTATTAAGATTATCTCAAAATCTATTTTTATATCTAATTATAGAATTTTAAATTTTAAAAATAGTCAAAATCAAGTAGATTTATAAACATATGAAAATCTTGAAAATGGATGGTGTAGATAATATGTTGTAAAATGCACTATTTATGAGACTTAAAATCTTTTTATTTTTCATGGTCATACATCTCGATGTCGAGATGATCAATCAAAAGGTTTTTCAACATTAAAACTACCTTTTCCGATTGATTTTTGAGGTGCATCCGTAGTTCTACATGGTTGCATCTTTATAAAAACTTTTTCCATATTAAATTGAAGAGTTTCCACAAGAAATCTCACTCAGAGGAGCCCTCTAGCAATAAGAAAACCATAATATTCTTTATAATAATATTTTTTATAAGGGCAATTTATGGGAGGAACGAGCAAGGAAAAAGTTTATATAAAGTTACCATCTTACATTGTAGAAGTAAAGTGCACTTTGAAATTTTAGTGGAAAAAAGTGGTCCAAAGTTGAAAAATCTTTTAATTGATCATCTCTACCTCGAGATATATAGACATAAAGAAAGCGATAAATTTCAAGTCCTACAAATATTTTATAATAACTTATCTTGACCATTTGTTGTAATGATTTTTAAGCTTTTATAGATCCACTCGACCATTTTTTAAATTTGAAATTTTATAATTAGAGTTGAACATAGATTTTCAGATACTTGTAAGATTTGCGACATTAAAACTATATCTTCCAACAAAATAAATATGCCTTGTTTGCTTATTATCAAGTGGACAACTTATACAATCTTAATAGGGATGGCAATGGATCCAACTAGACTCAAACCCGATCGGTAGACCCGACCACGTAATAGGGGTGGCAATAGATCCAACCAGACTCGGGGCCGAATGGGTGAACCCAACTTTAGTTCCAGGTATGGGTCCAAAATTTTTAACCTAAACGGTCGGTTCTGGCTCCAAAATCGTCAAGACCAACTGGACCCGACCCGTTGCTACTCCTAAATTTAACCTAAATAATTTTCTTGACCTTATAGGGCCTCCAAGAGACATCCAGGGGCACTTTAGTCAGGAGATTCCGCAATAAATCCATGTAATACTGGGGTACTATGGAAATAATAAGCATGATTAAGCCGTATATTAAAGCCAGTATCTATCTCTCTGCCAAAGCTTTTGATCTTCAATGGCTTGTAAGTTAAACTCTTCAGTTTCAGTGATCAATTTCTAGAGTTTTAACATTCGATCTGAGAATCCTATTATGCCCTAGCTTTCTCCGATTAACGCCATTGGTTTTGATCATTTAGCAAGCTCTAAACCCTGTACTGTCACCATGGGTTGTTGCAGGAATCCTCTACATTACAGAAACCTTGGGTATTCTCTCAGGTTCAAATTCAGGAACCTAGGGTTTTTGTTGGGGTTTCTTCTTGTATTTTCTTCCTTGGATGAGACATCGGGTTCGATCCATGGGTACTCAAGGGCAAGCTTCAGTCCTCAGATGAATGCGTACTTCTTCCATGGTGGAAGTGAAGGGATTTATGCTTCTTCGGTTGATGTGAATGGAAGTGATGGTGGTGCAAAGGGACAATCATTTATCAGGTGAGCTTTGGTTTAATACAACATCGTGTGTATAGATGTTACAAAGAAGAAATGATGTTCATTGATGGTGAAAAACTCCCTAGATTTTTATTTTCACTTTAAAATGGGGAAATTTAAGAAATCGTTGACCAGGTGAGCTTTGATCCAGTGCAATATCTGAGCTTAGTTGTTTTATACGAAATCAATGGCGTGTGTAGACAATCCAGAGAAGAAATGGTGTGCATTGGTGGTGGAAAATGACCTAGAAATATGTTTACCATAAAAATGGGGAACTTTTTGCGTAATGGGTGTACTCATTATGCTAGATGACGAAAATGCATTGATTTTTTGTGTGAATGACGATTCTTGCGTCACTCTCTCTGTGATAGCTTCGAATGACATTATGGGCGACTTACAGTGATTTCAGGAAAATGGATTTTTCTGCCCTTATCTGGAGTGGTGTCTTAGAAATTAATCGAACCAATGGTTTTGACAAGAAATGATATAAATAGTTATATCTTTATGCCCATTGTTTTTTTTTTTGAGAAATGTTGAACATTTGTATTGCTGTAAAAGAGAGATTACAGTATAGTGTTCCTCCGGGAGTGCCCTCTAGACGGGACTCCCGGTAAAAAATAGGTCAGTAGTCCCAGTACAGTAATTGGGTTTTAAGAATTCCCCCCTAACAAAGATTTACAAGGAAGAGGCAAGGACAGGGCTTATAAAATTGCCCCTCTGCCTCGAGAAGTACAAAGCCAAAAGGAAAAGAGAAAGACCCAAAAAATTATAGATAGAGGTTCACTGGTCCAGTGCAAAAAAGACAGTGGACCCAGTGTGAGCAGCCTGACCCTGTCTTCTAGCGCCTCCTTCGCCAGCCGATCCGCGATATCGTTGGACGTTCACTAGGTATGCTGCCATGAGACGCCCATAGCCCTGCAAATGTGTTGAACCTCGTCAAAAACTTGGGTCAAAAGCATTGGTCGATCACACGTTCTACTAGCCCAAGAGATGACGTTCCTTGAGTCACCTTCCACTATCAGACTTGTGCCGCGGGAGGGGTTGAATTTTTTTAAAGCTAGGAGGAGAGCTAAGGCTTTCGCATGGTGAGAGTCCTTGAGGCCGAGGTATTCGGAGAAGGTGAGGAGTATATTGCCTTCAAAGTCTCCAAAGACTCCTGCCCCTGCTGGACCAGCGTTCCCCAAGGAGCACTCGTCGAAATTTAGCTTAATGCTGCCTTGGGTTGGTGGTAACCAGTTGCATGGCCTTCTTACCCCCGCTGGTTGGTGATGAAGGATATTTCCCCATTGAGAGAGGAAGAAAGTTTCTGGAATTCCAGTGAAGAAATTAAGGTTGGATGCCTAGAAAGTAACCAGGGTGGTTACCTTGTGGAAATGAGTTGGAATTGGAAGCTTAGAACCTCGGAAAATTCTGGAGTTTCTTTCCAGCCACACTATCCAACTAGTGGCAGCTAAGGTCGCCTTCCACAGGATTCTTCCTGCCTTAGGCCAACTTGATTCAAAATTGTAGGTTAGGAGGGCTTTTACCGAGGGGGGGTAACCCATTGTATGCCAAAAAGTTGTAACACCCTGCCCCATAGGTCAAATGAGAAGTCATAGAGCAGGAACAGGTGATGGTTTGTTTCCTCCTCACATTCACACTGGGCACACCTATTGGGGATGGGGACCCCTCTTCTTTGCAGGTGATCGACTGTGAGGACCTTTTGTGAAAAGGCGAGCCAGTTGAAGGTCTGCACTTTTGGTGGAGCAATAGTGGACCATACTCTAGAGAAGGGATCGTGGGTGGAGGGTAGGGAAGAGAGGCTTTTGTAGAATGAAGCCACTGAGAACATACCCGAGGGGGTCAAGGTTCAAATGATTTCATCTCTTCCATGAGAAAGGAAGAAGAGGGAATGAAGTGTGTTCAAAAGTTGTTGGAAATCAACAGTGTCCTCTTCAGTTAGGTTCCTTCGAAATGATGGATTCCAAACTCTACGACTTCATAAGAGGTTGAGTTCCTGCGCAATAGAGGAATCCTGATCACGGGCAAGAGAGAAAAGGGTTGGGAAGGCCTCACAAAGAGGGGAGGGCCCTAACCATAAGTCTTGCCAAAATTTTACTCTCAAGCCTTCTCTTGGGTGGAACCTTATGTGTCTCTTGAAAGAAGTCAATACTGTTAAAAGAGACTTTCGGGCTCCTGACACATTATGGGCTTTAGCTCTTCTTGGCAACCAAGTTTGAATGGGGATTTTGTACTTGTGTTTTACCACCTGTGCCCAAAGGGCGTTTGGCTGAGTAGCTAAACGCCACCACCACTACCCTACCAGAGCCGCGTCATGATTGCGAAGGACCTTTATCCCTAAGCCTCCCTTCTCTTTTGGTTGGTAGACCTTATCCCAGGCACCAAGATGGTACTTCCTCTTGTCATCCTGCTCAGACCATAGGAAGTTCCTCATGAGTTGATTCAATCGATTTGCCACGTGAACAGGCATGTGGAAGAGGGACATGAGGTAGATTGGGGAATTCGCTATGGTAGCTTTTATCAAAGTAGTTCTTCCTGTCAAGGAAAGGTATCTACCCTTCCATGCTGTAAGCGTTGGTCAACCTTGTCTAGGACTGAGGACCAAAGCTGCTTTCTGGGCTTTCCAACCCCCAAGGGGAGGCCAAAGTAGGTAATTGGGAGATTCTGGACTTTACATTCCCAATCTGGAATGAGAGCTCTAATTTCACCAGGTGACAAAGCCACCCCCAGCATACTTGATTTTTCCAAATTAATCTTGAACCCAGTAGCAGATTGGAAGCAACTTAGGAAAGTTTTGAGGGTTGTGGCTTTGGTTCTGCTAGCATCCAGGAAGACCAAGGTGTCATCCGCGTAATGTAAGTGGGAGATTATCCCTGTCTACTAGTTTTGAATCCTGATAGGAGGCTTGCTTGGTGGACCCGAGAGATAGATCGACTGAAGACTTCAGCCGCTATGTCGAAGAGGAAAGGGGAAAGTGGGTCTCCTGGTCTGAGACCCCTCGAGGAGGGGAAGTAGCCAATAAGGGTGCCATTGATGAGGACAGAGAAGTGAGGGTTTGAATAGCAACCACTCATCCACTTCCTCCATCTCTCCCCAAAACCCATTCTAGCCATTGTCTCGTTCAGGACTGACCAATCTATTTTGAAGATGAGACCTGGTTGCTTGGAGAGGTGTCGCGAATGGACACATTCATGGGCCACTAAGGCCTTGTCTAGAGTTTGTCTGCCTTTGATAAAGGCTGATTGTGAATTAGAGATGATAGAAGGCAGGACTTGTTGCAGCCTAGAAGCTAGTACCTTTGCCAGGATCTTATAGGAGGAGTTGAGGAGGTTGATAGGCCGAAAGTCTTTGATTTCCTCAGCTCCTTCTTTTTTAAGGACTAGGGCGAGGAAGGTGCCATTCATGGCTTTGTTTAAAATGTCCCTATGAAAGAATTCCTCGAAGAACTTAACGACGTCATGGCGGACAATATCCCAAAACTCCTTAAAGGGGGCAATCGGGAAGCCATCAGGCCCAGGGACCTTGTCGCTTGCTAGTGCTTTGACCGCTTTAAGGATCTCCTGTTCAGAGAAAGGTCGCTCTAGCCAAGCAGCTTGGGCTTCGTTGAGGGTGAGGAAATCTATGGTCGAGAATTTGGGTCTAGGTTCAGGGGGGGCAGAGTATAAGTTCTGAAAGAAATCTAAGATGGCTTGTTGAATTTCACCAGGTTGGGTAAGATAAGAATTGTTGATTTTTAACATCATAATAACATTGTCTCAATGACGACAATTGGCTATCCGATGAAAAAAGCCAGTATTGTTGTCCCCTGCTTTCAAACACAAAACTCTTGATCTCTGGAACCAATAAATCTCTTCTTTCTTTAAAGTAGCGAGATACTCCAGCTTGGTCTTAGACCTAAGCTCCTGTTCAGAAGCATCTAGAGATCTCTTTTCTTCAATGCCATCAAGGTTCTTGATGGTTTCCAGTAAGGAAGACTTTAATTGTGAGAAGTTCTCCGGAATGGTTCTGCTCCACGATTTGAGAGCACCTTTGAGAAGTTGAATTTCTTCTGAAGGATAAATCCAGCTCTCCCCGAAACCTGGGAATTGAAGGAACTCCACGAAGTATGGACAAGGGCAGGTAGGTCCTTCTCTTGGAGCCAATGCAGTTCAAATCTAAAGGGAAGGGGACCCCTATGAATGGCATTCATGTCGAGTAGGATAAGACAGTGGTCTGATGTTGGTTTGGGTAGGGCCAAAGAAAATGATCTAGGGAAGTGTTCCTCCCAATTAACAGAGATCAGGACCTATCGAGTTTTGAGAGGGTGGGGTTGGAGCTGTGGTTAGATCAAGTAAGTCTGCAGCCTTGAAGGGGGATGTCAATCAGCTAGTTACGGCTAATAAAATATGAGAAGTTCCTCATATCCGTGGAGATTGAGGACAAGGAATTCCTCTCATGGGACAAGCGGACAACGTTAAAATCACCCCCCACACACCAAATGGGGTGTGGAAGGGAAGCAATGTGGTCCAACTCAGCCCAAAGTCTTTGTCTGATGGTGCGGGAATTCGGCCCATAAACTGCAAAGAATTTCCATGGGACACCATTAGAGATATTGGAGAGAAGGGTAATAGAAAATTCCCCAATGAAGTGTGAGATAAGAGAGAGGTCTGATGGATCCCAGTCCACCCAGATACCTCCTGGGGCCCCAATAGACGGCAGAGAGACCCACTGGCATGGTCTCGTTTCAAGGAGGGCCAGGATAGTTGGGGAGAATTTATGGGTAAAGGCTCTGACAACAGCTTTCTTAGTCCTCTAATGTTCCAAACCAGTAGTTTCATTTGCGAGAAGTGAGAGCAGGGGAGGAGGACAGTCTAGGGGACCTCCTCGGGCGTCCGAGAGTGGATGGAGAGGAACTGAAATCAATGACTTTCCCAGGGAAGGGAAGGGAAGAAAAAAGGTTTCATAACTCTCTTTGTCCTCTGAGTCTCACCTACAGTTTGCTTTGTGCGTTTGCCGTGATGAATCTGTGTGCAGGTCCTTCGGGTCCATCGTACTCAAAACCCATTATCCTGAACATGGTTCTCATCCTTTCTTCCTCTGGGTTAATCCTGTCATCTAAATGTTCTTTCGCCTCTTCGACATCTTGTGGCCTGTGATCTTCAGAAGCTTTTGAGGAGGAGTTAAGAGGGTGAACCGAAGGGTAGAGGTAAGAGGGTAAGGTCGGAAGAGATGGGAGGATAGGGCTAGGGTTAAAGGGAGAAGGCAAGGAAAGCGCACGGTTTGAGGTGGTATCGTCAGAGTGGAGGGGGTGACCAGGGTGAGGGTTCGGGAGGCGAGGCTGAGGGGAGTAACTGTCAGGGAGGATTTCAAGGTCCAGAGCAACAGGAGCAAAGGGGGGGGTGCCCGAAGGAGAGGGAGGTAGTTCAATTGGGAGGAAGGAGATGGTAGGGATATAGGTAAGGAACTGGTGAGTCTGGACAAAAGTGAAAGAGGAGAGTAGGTAGGGGGAGCCAGGGGGCCAGACAAAGAGAAAGGTTTGGGCCCTATGGATATGGACAAGTTGAGGGGTGAAAGAGAGGTGAGGGGCTAGGAAGTCAGCAATGGTAGCAGGGTTTGGAGGGGAGGGGTCCAGCTACTGGGCGGTAACAATGCCGACGGGAAAGAAATCACTGTTCATCTTCTGCATGGTGGAGGGCTTAAGATCCATGGGGGAGGGGAAGTCGAGGTTAAGGGGATAGAAAGTGAGAGAGAGAGAGAGAGCTTGGAGAAGGATGAGGGGCCACCCGCCAAGAAGTTGACTGGAGTGGAGGTGGGCTGGGATTGAGACTCGACACCACCACAGAGGCAGTAGAGGAGAGGGAGACAAAAGGAGAAACAAGCCTAGCCTCAGGATCAAGCGGTTGCGGGGAGGGGACGAGAGGGGAGGATACAAGTGGAAGGTGGGAACAAACTGACAACTGCGTCGACAAAGGTAGAAGGGGAACAGACAAAGTGGGTACGCGGACAAGAGGAGGTAGCGTCGGCGGGCCATTCTCGAATGTTGGTTGGATGGCGGCCAGTTGGCAGGAACAAGGCCGCGCGAAGAGTTGAGCTCTCGCGGCCCAAGAAGGTCGGGAAATGGGCTAGGGTTGGGGGGATAAGAGGGGGGTTGGAAAGAGGTAGGCGGGTTGGGCTGAGGCTCACCACCAGGATGGTGGGGGGCTCGAAGAGAACAAGGGGTAGGTGAAAGATCAAGGTTTCCCAGAGGTGACGCCTGAGAAGGAGGAGGTGAGGAGGCTGCCTAGGCCTGGGGCAGCTGGAGGACACCCGCTGCAAAGAGCCCTCTAATGATAGGTGGGGGAGGTCAGACGGTTGAGGTAGGCGCATGGGGATCGAGGCAAGCTTTGGCTGAGAGGGGTAAGGTGGGATAGTGGGACATGTGGCAGCCACGGGAGAAGAGAGAGAGGCATGGGAATAGGGAGAGATGGGAGGGAATGGATTGGGTAGAAGGGGTGACCCCGGGGCAAGCTTGAGCGAGAGAGGGGGAAGGATGGATGATGGGCCGGGTCTGTCTCCCCAGCCCAGAGAATTTTGAGGAGTATTGTCCACGACAACCTCTTTCCCTCTGCGTCAGTTCAATTCGCCTGCAACTCCCGATTTTTCCATAGGACTTGAAGAAGTCAGCCAAGATTCATTCACTTGACTCGGGAAGGGAGGAGAGTCTGTACCAGTTTGGACTTTTGCAGAGTCTCCAATTAGGACCGTGAAAAAGTTCTTTGCCTTGTTCTGGGTGTGGTCCAACGGGCGAGGGTGCCAAGTTTGCCGTTGCAACGTTTCAGGAGGTCTCCGACGAGGCCTCTTTCGATTGTGTTTCTTACTTTTCACCACCTTCCACTGCTGAGATGAGGTAACCGGTAGAGTAGCCAGATGAGGTTGGTGAAGGAAGTCGGGAGAGGGGGGCGAAGCGGAAGACCAGGAGATCAAAACAGGGTAAAAGAAGTCGTTGATATCTAACCACACCATAAGCGGAATCATTGTGGTGTCCAAGACTTCAATCAGAGGGCGAATGGACCCCAACGGCAGGGACTATAGCGAGATCCAGTGGATGGAGACTAGACTACCACAGGCTGCTGCTACTCTCTTGAAGGTCTCTGGGGACCAAGCATGTAGCGGTATGTGATGAAGAGTAAGCCAGATCCTCTGTTTCCTGAAGGAGCCTTCTTTTGGTGACCATCGACGGAGAGAGCAGGGGGCTCCTTTGAAGGAAGGGTTAGAACTTTTGAGTAAGGGTGGGTTGGCTTGTTCTTGAGAGGGGAAGGAAAAGAGAGTCTCTGTTAGAGAGCCGTCTACAGATGAGATTGGGCTCCTCCCACAAGCTTCTGGCCCACCTCTCTATTCCTTTAGAATCATCTCGTACCGGGTGAAAACTATCAACCAGGGACGCCGATAGTTTTTGGTAACTCTCTCGGTCTCCTCCGGGAGGGTGGAGATACTGTAAGGTAAGAAGGGGGAGGCCACAGATGAAATGGGAGGGGTGGAGGGAGCTTGAGATATCTTCATCGGAGGGTCAGGAGGGGAGGAAGAGACAACGCAAGCGAAGGAAGCTCTGAGGGTAGAAGCTGGTGGCAAAGGTATCTTCCGGCGAAGGCGGTGAGGGTGGGTGTTAGGGTATAAGGCATAGATATCGCTTCAGGTAGAAGGGGAAAGGAAATGTCGATTTCTACCTTCCACCATTTTTTCAGGTCAATATTTCTAATATTTCTATAGTTAGTGTTACTCCTATTCCATTAAAATTCTTGTTGGGTTCCCTCTCTAGCTCTACTTTTTTGTAAATACGGTGGGAATTCGGATGGTGCTTGTGATAATGGCTGGCGTAGAACTGATTTGTGATATGCCTGTGGAAAAACACCCACTGTTTTAATGTACTGTTAATCTACTGAATCACTAGAGCCCATAAACTCGTCCTGCCATGATAATGGTTGGATTTTGCAAGATTTTTAATTTACCTGCACACCAATTCAATGTCTTTTGAAGTTGTTAACTTGTACCAATTCAATGTTACTGCTACTTGTTGTACCTGGGCTCCGAAGGACCAAAATATGATTGTGGATGGTATATTTGTTTCTGAAATTCGAGCAGTGAAAACCCAATGTATGATAATCTCATTATATAGTGGCATCCTTTCTAGTATTGTAATTCATATATTGGTATTAAACCTATATTCCAAATTCAAATAAAAAGAAATATATAACCTCCCATGATGGAATTACTTTTTTGTCATGTCTCACGTTCATTTCATGGATATTTTCTGCTTTGACAATAATCTTCTCTCTTCTCTAATCTATGGCTTGTTTTTTTAGGTTTGAATCTATCACCTTTCGGAGGACGAAAGAGTCTGCTTCTGTTCATAATGACATGGAGCAGAAAACAGGGCTAGTTGAGGCATTAATAGTTGAAATTAAGGATAGAGATAGGATTGGGGCTGGTCATCTTAATTCTGACGATCTATGCTGTACACTTGAACTTTCCAAGGAAGGGCACTGCAATCAAGGGGAGGTGTTCATTCGTCCAAATAAAGATAGCCCAAAATGGCCAAATCGTATTCAGACATTCTTCCAAGGTGCAGCGGAGGAAGCTAATATGGGAACGCAAACTGTTTATGTTGAGAAAACTGGAATGTACTATTTGTATTTCATGTTTTGTGATCCACAATTGAAGGGTACAAGAATCAGTGGGAAAACTGTTTGGAAAAACCCTGGTGGTTATCTACCAGGAAAAATGGCTACTTTGATGATATTCTATGGCTTTATGTCTTTAGCTTATCTAGCACTTGGGCTCATCTGGTTTCTCCAATTTGTATGATTTTGGAAGGATATATTGCAATTACAGAATTATATCACCATAGTGATTGCTCTGGGGATGTGTGAAATGGCTTTTTGGTACTTTGAGTATGCGAATTTTAACTCTACTGGCATAAGACCGGTGGGTATAACTGTTTGGGCAGTGACTTTTACTGCTGTCAAGAAGACTGTTTCTCGCCTTCTTCTTCTAGTGGTTTCAATGGGATATGGTGTTGTTCGACCAACTCTAGGGGGAATCACCTCTAAAGGAGCTCTTCTTGGTGTCATTTATTTTGTGGCTTCTGAGGTGCTTGAACTATTTGAAAATGTGGGCAATATTAATGACTTTTCGGGAAAAGTGAAGCTGTTTCTGGTGCTTCCTGTAGCTGTCTTAGATGCCTGCTTCATTCTTTGGATATTCTCTTCTCTGTCCAAAACTTTGGAAAAGCTTCAGGTAATGTTTTTTTTTCATGTTTCTATATGTGAACCTTTGGGATGGAGAATTTACATTTTGTTTCTATTATGTGGCTTGGGAGGTGTTGTTTTGCTAGTTCTTGGTATTTTTTTTGAACTTTGTGCAACATATTGAAGGCCTGTGCTCCTTGTTTTCTATCTGCTCGATTTCCCTTTTGTGAGGAAGAACGGTATTTTAGATTATTCGCTAATACATGCAAATGGGAAAAAAGTAAACATAAATGTACAGAAATTCAATCTCTTACTTTGACAATCAAAAGCCCCATGGTTTGGCAATAGGCTGTGTGGAAATGCTGAGTTGATCATTTGAAATTTTTTACTAGCTCTTAGTCTTTCTTCAGATGATTGACTATCATCATCTCTGTACTTGTATTGTTCCCATTTGCTGTGTTTCTTTCCATCTTCAAACATAGAAGCCCTATTTTTGGACACCTGAAAGGGGATCCAAACCAGTACTCAAAAATAAAGATCTGGGAATTAGGTCACTTCATAAGCTAGACCATTTCTTGAATAGGGGTGAGTCTTGAGTCCAAAAGAAAGAAATTTCTATTGAATGTAGAAACTTCTTTAGTTTCGTCACACCCACCGAGCCCGCCCCAAAAAAAAAAGAAAAAAGATCAAAGATTGCATGTTTAAACATTGCACGTCAAGTTTTATACCTGTTTCCTATCATATCCTTTTTGCAGTTGATATGCATCTAAACTTGTCCTTTGCATACAATCTTGCATCTTAAATACCAAGTTGTACTATGTGTGTACGTGTTCGTATTATATGTTATTACGGGAATGGTGTTATATTGGGGAATGATTATGTGAAATTTAGATACAAACTCTTTAGTGATAATAATATATTCTATTCGCCTTTTACTATTAGCTTATTTTGTTGATTACCATACCCTCTTTTTTAGTTTATTTCACCTTTTTCCAACTTCTTTCCCTCTTTTAACTCAGAGAGAAGCTTTCCCACTTTTTCCGCTTTCCCCTCTTTTACTTTGAGAGAGAAGCCTTTACCTATTTTCCTTACTGAGAGAGTAAAGACCGGTCCCCATCCATGTGTGCTAGAGATGCTGTCTCACTTCACTCACAAAGAATCAAATAATGCTCAAAGGCCTGAAAAATTGTCCCCTCTATGGTAGCCCAAAATGTAAGAATTGGAGTAAGTAATGTCAAAAGATTTTATGCTCTTGAGGGAGCATGTTTCATGTACTCCCTGGGGAAAAACCCATTCTAGGAGTATTTGTGACGCCAAATTTTGGGGATGTACGTTCTTCAACCCATATGTTATAATACTCAATAAAAAAAAAAAATCCAAATTGCATTTTCATTGGGCTTGCAAAAAATAATGCCTCAATTTATTAGAAACCGTCGATTTTTGAAAGGTGAGAGTAAGTGATAGAAAACTTGAAATATCGGATTATGAAAAATCATCTAGTCATTTTTAGGTGGTTCCCAAAATATTGGATAAAGAAAAAAAAAAAAATCTTCTGCAGTTAGTTTCCTGCCTGAGGGAGTAAGTGTGCAGTATGCTCCTGTGGGACCATAGTATACATGCTAAGCAGTAACCATACAAAAGGTAGAGGTGACAATGGTGGAGATTGAGTGCTCTACATGCATGTCTTGTAGCCATGGTGCTTCTTCTTACAAAGAAAAAATCTTGGAATTTCTGCAGTGGCATACACAAGCTTCTTTAGTGATACAAAGAAAATTTCAGAGTCCCCTTAATTATTCTCTGAAGTTTCACAAGACTTCTCTCAAAATGCTCACATTTCCTCATCAAATTGAAACCATGTTGCAAAGTCACGCGTGTAACTCGCCGATAATTCTTTCTAGCTGCTCTCCAGTTTGTTTCCTCTAAATTTAGTTGAGGTTTTTAGGAGGCTTGATAGGAATTCATCATCACCTTGGAGAAGTTGTCAGTCCATTGTGGGTGTTGGCCATTATGGTGGTTTTGAGGAGAGAGATTCCTGGTTTTGATTGGGCTCGTTCATGACTGCCACTATTCCAAGGCCAATTCCCTCCAAGTTGGAGACCTTCTGTCGTTAAGTCTGGCTATTAAAACTGTTTGGTACACAAGAAGAATAATGGGAACTTGATTGGATTGGGGGTAATCATCATTTTTAGAGCACTTTTCCAACTAATTGGGGCTGGCTACACAAATCGTGGCCCAGCATTCTGTCCTATTAAGGGGTCATACCCTCAGTGAGGCCATAAGTCTCCATATCTTTTCTCACTACTTCCAACCATGTCTTTTTGGGCCAACTCATTGCTTTTTCAAGCTTTCCACTTAAACTAACTCACACCTCCTAACAGGTTTCTTACTGGGTCTACGCCACAGATGGCGGCCCACCTAAGTTTACTTTGTCCCATCTTATCGTCCATTGGTGTCGCACCTAAATTCTCCCGAATGTATCCATTTCGAATTTTATTCCTTCTTGTCTTGCCACTCATTCATCTCGATATCCTCATCTCAACTACACTCATTCTATGGGTATGTTGTTTATTGACCACCAACATTCTGCCCCATCAACCAAAATTAATCTCATAACTGTCCTATAGAACTTGCCTTTCAACTTCATTGGTATGCGACACATAAAACTCCGGTTGCACATCTCCACTTTGCCCATTCAACTTTAATTCTATGTGTGACATTTTCCTCAATCTCTCCATTTTTCTGGATTATCGGCCCAAGATATTGAAAGTGCGCTCTTTTTGGTATTTCTTGGCTGTCATTCTTAACTACTTCATCTCTACTCCTATTATTTCTAAACTTGCATGCCATATACTCTGTATATACTCTGTCTTAGTCTGGCTAATGTTAAAACCTTTAGATTCTAGACCATGAGATTTATCAATGGGTTTGTTTTGGATTGCCTGCGGTCTCTCGCCAAACTTCTTCTTGCATTTGAAGGGGTTTGCGGAAGAGAGAGAGAGAGAGAGAGAGAGAGAGAGAGAGAGAGTAGTTAGTGTACGTCTACCTTCTTCTCGTGTAGGACGTCGTTAGTTGGGTTACGGTACGTAAACTTAACGTTACAACGTAACGTACGGTAGGTGGTAGTCG